TATGTATACGTTTTTGCAGAGGAATACCAAAGATGGTATAAAATGAAAAAATATAAATTTTCTTGGGATGAAACACACAGATCAAAAACAGTAAAGCCTATTATTTCTATTCTCTTCTTCTACTCTTCATTTCCTTCCTTTTTTTCTTTCTCAAAAATTACGTTTATAGACTTAAATGTGACAGTTTGGTTATTTTTACATCATTTACCCAATTGTTATTCTCTAAAGCAGTGCTGATCACTCGTTAGCACCATAACTTTTTCCATGTATCTAAATTTTTTCATCTTCTTTTGCTTCACACCTATTGGTCTTTGTCAGGCACTTATTCATTTTACCTATAAAAAAGCATTTGAATGTTAAAAAGAAGTATAAAGATAATTTCTTCTTTTATTTTTAATATTCGATTAGGATATCAAAAAATTGCTTAACAGCTGATGAGAGGTTATCTTTGATGATACTTTCTGCCAAAAAATCTATAAATCTTCCGACGTAAAACCGTCAAAAAGCTTTTCCTGCATTTTTTTTTCCTACTTTTTTTTTTACCTGATTTTTGGTTCTCAGCTTCACAATAATTGTTGCCTTCGAATAATGTGAAATTCTTAACGAAAAAAAAAAAAAAAAAACAGCTGCCTTAATTAGAGAGCTGTTTTCTTCCGTAATGCATTTTGCAGAGTAAAAAAATGACACAATAAACAGAGAGAAAAAAAAAAAGCATTGCTGTCCCCAAATGTGTTATTTTGCTTTCCAACGACACTTTCAGCTAAGATTTTAGCGGCTAATGTAGATCAAAAATCCAGACTTAATTTTCTTTTTTTGTTAGAATTTTTTAACAGTATTATCGCCTCTTAGACATTATTTAAGACGTTTGAGCTCTGCAGGATAAGAGCAAGGAAGAAAGAAGAAGGGGCAATAGAAGAAGATAAAAAAAAGACGGTTAGAATTTATAGAATTTTTCAACATTGTTTTTTTCGCCTGCGTTCTTTCTTTTTTTTTTTTGCCTTTTTTGATTTAAAATCGATTGTAATTATTGAAAAAACAAAGCAACACCGACATTATACAACCAGTCTGATATCGATTTCAGCATTTCTTTCATTTCCTTCACCACTCTCCTTTTTTACCACCGCCACCCCCTCTTCTTCCCTCTCCCATATTTCCTTCTTAGTTTTCCTTCACCTCCTCCACGTACCTTTATAACCTTCATTCTCCGGCTCATGCTTCTCTTCTTACATCTCCTCTTCTTTCTACCTCCAATACTTTATTTTTGGTCGTATCAATTTAAGGAAAAAATTTGGTTGTTACCACCTTGATTCTCTTCTATTTTCCTTTCTTTCAGAAAAAATATACTGATCATTTTAAAAGCAAGCAGCACACTGTTTGTGAAAATCAAAATGATTTACGCTTGTGGGATACCTTCTTCTTCTTCTTCTCTCTTCAAACAAATTTTCTTTTGTCTTTTTAGTTTTATTTTTTTGTTTTTAATTGTTGTTCTTCTATTTTTACTCAAAAAATTATAACAATAAGTGCAATCAGCAATGAATTTCTGATAACTAAAAAGCAAAAAATAAGAATAAAATTTTTTTATTTTAATTAATCAACTTCGACAGAATGTCTAGTTTCTCTTTAGTCAATAACATGGTTAACTAGCTGATTTAGCTAGTCAGTTACAATAAACTTTCGTTACGGCTTTGCCTCTGATAGATGTGATAAGGTGTTAAGGTATTTTTGTTCTGCAGTCATTTAATCAACAAATCTATTTGTCTAAGAATATGTTTTTTTTTTTTTTTTGCCATTCAGTTCTACAAAGACAACTCAATGCAGTAAAAAAAAGCCAATTTTTCGCCTGTTGCCTCATCAACAGAAAAAGAATAAGAGAAAGGAGAAGAAGAAGAAGAAGAAGAAGAGGAAGAAGAGAAGAAGAAGAAGAAAGGGAAGGGGAAGGGAAAGGGGAAGGAGAAGGAGAAGGAGAGTAAAGATGGCAAAGCAACGGAAAATGCTTTTTAGCTACTTCATCGAAATGAATAAATCAAATGAAACAAACAACGGTAATTTTCGCTGTAAACAGCGAATAAATTGCAGCTAAATATTAATTTTACACTGTCCTTAATTTCTTGCTTTTTTTTAAATTCATTCTTGAAAAGTCGGTGTTTTTACTAATTAGAAGCAGCAATTTTTTTTTTATTGACATTAATCTTTTTTCCATTTGTTCTGCTAGTTGTAAGTGTAGTTGTTGGTGTTATTGCTGATGCTGGTATGATTCAACTCGACACATAACCGTAATACAAAGGAAAAAAATGTTGAGGAGAGATTTAATTGACCCCATTATGTATTC